TCATTTAGTTCCTTCGGTTTTGCTACTTCGAGATATCTTTTTCCTGGGCTTCATATGAAGGATTACAATGTGATAACCTCTGACAACAGAAACTGCAACTGTTATGGACAGGCTTGTGACATATTTTCGATTAGCCAGAAATCACGTGACAAAAAACATACCCGAGTCGAATGTCAGATAACAACACGAATTGCCTAGTTTTAAATTTGGGATCCTCCTGTACTACGAGTACCTGAACAATGAATTTAACTCCAAAGCACTACCCAAAACACCTAAACCAGAACTAATTATATTATATACCAAAATTGGTCCTACCAGGAATAACAGTGCTAATGTGGAAAGGTGGAAATAAATTTACAAAGCTGCAAAAAAACCTAGAATTAAAATCCGTTAAGATCACCTCACGCTCCACATAAGCTACATGTAAAAAAATCAATTCAATCATCATTATGTTTAATCACCAAAAATACTTTGGGAAATTTTCTTCCACAAACCATAAGGAAGACAACATTTTTCGCACCAAAATCGAACCTAACTCAAAAGCATTAAGTGCTGAGAATTCAGAGTGAATATACAGGAGTACTAAAGGAAGGAATGTGCAAACGGAGTGTTTGTTGAATAAATACCCACTGGCAAATTAAAGAGGGTCGGCCTCTACAGCGTTTAATATAACCGTCTATTTAACGATGTATATTGCTTTTTACCATGACTTGTTGAAATTTTTCTAACGGAGCTACACACGTAATTTGGGGTATTAATGGAATCTTTGTTCTGCAAAATCGTGTTGCTAGAACCATTTGCAATCTGAGCTCCGGAGTACCTCTAAGTGGGAAATTTACAGAAATTAACATTCTTACACTACGTCTTCTATATATATGTTAAGCAAAGTAGTCATTTTTTCATGTAGAGTAGTGACAGGCATAATATGAATATGATGAATATTAAATAAACTGGCTGTTATTGACAGACGTCTTTATGAATTTAATAAGACTCATAAATATCATGAATGATTAATGTGTACAAATGACTCCTTACAAAGAGCAACCTCTAGAGTTCCTTGCTATTTTCCGCCTTATGAATAAGTAGTAGTGTTCAATCAATGTGACAATTTCAAGTAATATTTCCTTTCAATACAATACAATAATACAAAAACAAGTACATAACAAGTAAAAGACAAGACTGGTAGAAATAGAAATAGAAATAGAAATTACTTATTCACACATACAATTTACAAACAAAACAAAAACATAAAAAATAGAAGAAAGAAAGATAAGGGAGACAGGATGTGTGTTGTGCAGCCACTGAATCCCTCATCCACTCAGCTATTGCCGTCTCACTGAAAGTGTGGTACGACGCTGATTTTCAGTGGATTCGGCGATGATTCGTGATGATTCGTACAACAAGCGGCTTACACCTTTCGCTCATTAAAGATATTTTTGATTTCAATTGTAAACATGAACAATTCTTAAACGATTTTTGATGACTATATACTAATTTTAATGGAAAATAAAACAACATAAAACAAAGCAACACTGTAGGAGACAAATGCTGGCTAATGAGAAGAGTTGAAGAAAATAATCACCGAATTGAGCGTCTTGAACGAGATGTTATGATAGGTCGTCATAATTTAGAATTGGTTCATTTGAGAATAATAATAATGTGATAAGGTAATAATGACCTTATTCAAACTGTAGGACAAAGTAAGTTTGACGTCATAAAACTGGCATTCAAGATTGCAAAAGAAGTTAAAACACCGCTTAACTCATAAAGTAGGCGCGCATTGAAGAAATCCCGAAGATTTCCAGAATTTAATTAAGAAGCGATGCAAATTTCAAAAATGGATAGTTACCCGAACCAATAACTCTGCTGCCTAGCTTTAATTAAAATCAGTCGAGTCAGGACCGAATTTAGGCATAATAATTACTTTAGAAAGTGAATGTCTGCTCATTCATACAAAATATTCCCAGTACGGAGCAAATCGTTAGTAACTTTTAGAGAAACCAACGAATATACAGGTGTCACGGTCAAGACTGTAAACCTTTAAATGGGTTGTTTGGTACATAGGGCGCACTGTAAGTTTCCGGAACTGGCCACGTGCATAAACAATATTTAAAAATTAATTAAAACATTTGAAAATGGACCTGTTTGGCTGTAGAATATAGTTTGTTTCATCTGACTGTCACTTGTTTTACATTTGGTGTGGGACATAGTAACAGGTGACGAAACATGGATTTATACTTATGATCCCAAAACAAAGCAGCAACCGAGCGCCGAGCGTATGGGTTTTTCGAGATAAGCCGAAACCAAGCAAAGTGACGCGCGTGCAAAGTGTCTCTAAGCGGATGATTGTTTCTATTTTTAATAAAACTGGACACGTGGCTTCTGTTGCTTTGGAGAATCTTTGTACCGTTAATAGTGATTGGTACACGACCATTTGTTTGCCGGAAATTATTGACATTGACAAAAATAACCGTAAACGCCGTATCATCTTGCACCACGATAATGCCAATTCTCACACGGCCAAACTGACAAATGAATTTTCGAAGTTGAACAACGTTGACCTTATGAGCCATCCCACGTACAGTCCCGACCTGGCACCTTGTGACTTTTATTTATTTCCAAAAATTAAGAACCAGTTACGCGGTGAACGATTTTCATCACCTGAATTGGCTGTCGAAGAGTATGAAAAATGTGTTTCAGAGATTGTCACGGAGTAGTGGCATAAATGTTTCCAAAATTGGTTCAATCGTATGAAAAAGTGCATTAACGCTAACGGAGAATATTTTGAGAAACAATAAATTCATTCTGACCATTTATAGTATTTTTGTCTTATTCATTCCGGAAACTTATAGTGCGCCTCACGTATTACAAACTAGAGATGATTCTCGGTGCCGAGGATATGAAGTACTCTTGTCGTGCCTTTGCAAAGTTACCTTCAATCCGAACTCAGTTCCCATGTCTCACGGTCGACAACTGATTTGCGTTAAGGACATCCTACATCATCGTCAACGTTTGAAGACTGAACATGTATGTATTCCACGAGTATTATGGTATTGTATTTATAATTTTATTCATATATTCATATTTTATTCATTTTGGTAATTACTTAATATTGTTTATTCATTTAGCTTTAAGTTTTACTTGACGGTAAGCAATATGTAATAAATAAAATAAATAAATAAACGAGTTGTATACCTTCTTCGACGTCTAGGTAGGTACCTCGGTTTTTTTTAATAAAATAAGTGCGTATTTGATCTCACCTGATGGAAAGTGACGATGAGGTCGACGATGGACCACGCACATCTAAATAATGCCTATTCTCTCTCCCCTTGAAAAGGCATAAGTAAGAGTGTTCTGGTTATTGGTCTGCAGACGGGGATTTCTACTCCAAAGCCGTTTGCCATATAAATGTAGAAGCGTAACGCTTCGTGAGAATCTTGGTAATGCTACTAAACTTTGTATTATCATAGGGCCACAGGAATTCTCTCAATTGAGAAGCATGTATTTCTAACACCTTTAACAGCTATTGTAGGATAGATAGATATTCTTGACATCGCAAAAGCCTGACCATAAATTCGGGACTACATAGACAAAATCCCGGTAAAGGGTTGAAATACTTGAACGTTATAACATGGTACAGATCAATAAACCAAAACTGTTCCAGACAGATTAAATCAATTTGAGGGTAGCTTCCGGAAATACCAAATGTCGAGACACCTGAATGACATTCCGACACTCGAATGTTTTAGCACAAACTACAAAGTTATCTGTAGAGCATGAAAATGATAAAAAATTACAAACGTTATCCAGTTATTATATATTAGTGTGTATGTGTGTGTGTGCGTGTATATATATATATGTATAAAATTAAATTATTTTTCGGATCTATCGCATTTCAAAAAAAGGTTTAGATGGCGCGTTGGGTAGATGCAGTCTACCTTTAACTTGAGTCAACTTTTATTTTAATAACTTATCAATCATTTATAAACTTGGCATCATAAGACTATAAAGGTTTGCTTGAGTGTTTCAATTCTTTGCAAAAATTTAATCTATTTGTCGTATTATTTGCGAAATGCGTACAAAATATTACTTACACAAAGTTTTACTATAATAAGAATACACGCACCTATTCTATAAATATCTACTACTCAATAGTATTGTACAAATAATAACAAAAGCAGAAACAAAAATCGTGTGGTAGATACAAACGTGGATATACTGGAGTCGTTGCCGATGTCGACCATTTCATACCTATCTCAGTGGGTAAAGGCGTAACAGTAATTTATATATATTTGACCATTTTTTTTCATACTCTTTCGATCAGTCTACTTCAAGTTTTATTGTCCGCAAAGGTAGTTTGTTTTTTTATGGAAATATAGTTTCAAAAATACAAAAGATACAAAGAAAAACGTTCCTAAAATTTTTGTTTTTCACCCGTCTTGCAAACTGAAATTTGGCTTTACGCCTTCTCTTCCCCAGAGTATCGTATGTCAATGCCAAAAATTTCTCCTACAGTAGCGTTAACATTGTCGTCGTTTGCGATGATATCGTCTCTGGTGCTAATTACATTCCAGAGAGTTTAAGGTTTAAACTTGAGGATTGTTTATTCGGTACGAATGTCTCTCGCAGACAGACAGTTCCAAGTGAATTCCACTTGAGTTAACACTTGGAGTGTGTATTCGAGAAGTTTGTTGTGCAGGTCATTCTTAGAGGTATAGTTTGATTGCCTCTGCTGTTTCAACTTGAGTGGCAAAACATACTTCAGTTGAAGTTTCTGTTTAAACTCTGATGAATCACTAAAGAACTTAGAACTAAATGTCCAAGAATAACTGCATCGTAATACTAGAGTTATTTTGGCAGTAGAGTAATAAGTTTGTAAGTAAAATTTTAAGTTAAAAAAGAAGTTGAAGTTAAAACACTTATATCTCTTAGTCAGCTCTTAACAAAATTAGAAGTGTGATTCTAGTATCATATAATCAATAAGTAAAATAAATACTTACTAGGGTCTTTCACAGCAGTGATGACGAGCTTGAACCCGTTGGCGTCAGTGCCCCAGTTGTCGGTGACGTACTTGAGCGTCACAAAGTTGCTGCGAGTGAAGAGAGCCCCCACCTGCTGCTTGGTGTTACGGCAAGACAGGTCGGCCTGAAATATAATACTATCTTAGAAACAAACCTTAATATTGTTATTTACGGACTTTTATGTTCGATGTAAGTAGTTACTGTTTGCGTAGCTAAACCACTATATAAAACATTTATTTTTCTGTTACAATGGAAGGATCGTAAGGTAAGCAACATTTGAATAATTCTAACAATAAAACATATAAATCTTCATCCAATAACAATTCAATACACTAAAACCTTTACTAAGTTCATTCGAACCACAACACGTGTACGGAATACTCCAGGTGATAAAACTAAGACAAAAAGCCATCAGATTAACTTAAGGGCTATAAAGGCTAAGCACGAGAGGGGGTGTGGTGATTGATTGCTGGATCGGCGGAAGGCGCATCAGTTCGATACTAGTACCTATGACAGTGCAGATAGACTGACGAAGTGTAATGTCTTGTCATTCGGGTCATAAAACTTGAAGGCGGTTGAAAAGAGGAATGACTGAAACATTTCATATCGTCAAAGCTGAAAACAGGTATAATAGTGTAGCAGTAATTATATAAATGATAACAGGTAATTTGTAAATAAATTAAATTGTAAATTGTTATTTTTGAGATCTAAATGGCGTATAATATTTATTATTCACACAAATCATAGTTTAGAGCTCTTTACAAGTCCTTTGGTCACGGCTGACTATAATGTAAAAAGCTCGAAACATTGGTTTGTTTAATAAAATGTTTAATGATTTAGCTCCGAAAAAACAGTTTTATTTCCTATGTGTAAAACCTGAGAACTGGATATTGAAAACCATTAGTTTGATCTAAAACCTATTGTTAGAGGAAATAAGGGTTAATATACAAGGGGTTAATGATGATTATGGTGATAATTAGCTTAATAAATGTAATTTACCTGCACCGAAACATTCAAACACTTTAGTGTACAATAATTTGCAAATTATTGACCTGGCATTTAAAATCGATTCAAACAATGTAAATGTAAACATAATTGACAATGTTTAGTACCACAGAGCTCCTTGTGAAACAGTTCGTCCAGGGAAGGGAAATACTGTGTCATCGCAATTATTTACAATAATGTAAATAAAATAAGCAATGTGATGTATGTAAAATAAGTAAAGTCAGCAATAGTGCGTTCCGATAAATGTGCTGGTGAAAATACAGGCACATGGAACTTAATGTCTTAGGAAGAGGGCGCAGAGATTTCAGATCTTTGCGATTAAACCTCTGAGTGACACTGTCGTAGGTAGGCGTGTCGCTTACCAGGCGCACGACTTGTTCGTCCCGCCACTTGATATCATAAAAAAATTACAAGCATATTTTCCCAAAGCCGGTTAAAGATATCCAAATATCAACATCAGCTTATGGAGCGATGATTGATGGTAGCTGATCCTTCCGCAGATGCATCTTAGACGACACACACGATTGCGTTCGGCAGGCGCGACCCGCCCGCGCGGAAAAACTGACGCACCACTGTCTCTTGCGATACTATGATAATGGGTTTCTTGTCGTATCAGCAAACGATTTTAGGCAGAGTTTTTGTCGTGGAGATTTACAAGGATTTCGAAAGCCGGTTTCTCAAAGTTCTAAAACGCGCTACTTGTAGTTGATATTTTATGCATTATACGTAATAGTGGCAGATGATGGAGGTAAGCCGATGAAGAAAGTGCGCAAAGCAAATGCTGTAATGCGACATTTTACGTTCAACACCTATTAAGTTAGAGAATAAATTCCTTAAACAAACCGAAGGTACCGTGTAATATGAGCTCTTCGCGGCTAGTAGGCTAGTTAAGTGTTATACCCAACTAGGTTTGCTTTTGTGCGGATTATAGAACACAAATTTGACATAATTTTAGCGCGTTTGATTCTTTTATACGTGTGATAAGTTGTTTTTTGCTAAGACGAAATATATACTACAGATACTTTTGCGTATCCAATTTGCTACCGTATCCAATAAATAATCCCTTCCCAAATTGTTTGATTCTAAAAGTTTAGAACCAGTTACTTGCCTCATTTATATTATTATTACCGTAATCACTTTGGAGCTGGGTTCGAAGTGATAATTGGCACGGAAATTATTTTGATAATTATGCATTGATAATAATAAAATAAATTGGATAAACAACAATAGATGCTACCGCTAGCAATGTCGCGCCATAATACATCAGTACGATACAAACAGTGATAAATGTTTTGTAATTATCAAATAATAACGCAATGAATCGCAATAACTTTATGTTTTTCGAGAAATTTAGCTAACAAATAACTATTAAACATACACACGATACCGCTTAGTAATTAAAACCTCTTTAATGTTATCTTTGTAATTCATTACGTATTGTTAGTCACTTGTCGCCATTGACAAGGTATTAATTTCATTTGGAAAGTAAAATTTGAAGGCCGCCAATAGACTTTTTGATTTGTACTTGTATGGATCCCTTTGGCCGTACCTAATTTAGTATATAGCACCTTATATAGTATACAAGTAAAAGTCGAGGCTTGTCAAGTCTTGAAAGTAAGTGGGGTGGTAGTTGGGGCTCAGAACTGGTTGAGCCGTCAGGCGCCGGCAATATATCCTTCATCGAGGGGCGACGCATTAAGGCGTCATATTTCAGCGAGAGCGATCGCGACGACGTGACCGCCCCGGATTTCAGGGGATCTCCAGCCATACATCAGGGCTGCCCCGGGCCAACACCGGTCACGACTCGTATCCATCATTGGCCAGTTCCTACGTTTTAACTCAGTCTTGATTAGTGGCAGTTTAGTAGATTTGTTCGGGCAGTTGACTCCAATATCCAATAGGTCAAACTTTATAATTCTAGGCATATAAAATCGATTCGGAATTCAACAAAATTTTCCTGATAGCTAAAATAATACAGGAAGTTCGCATTGTGTCACTGCTTTTGAGTAATTGCAACATAATGATAACGCAAATGGATGTCGTTGAAAATGTATCGCCATAGTGAATCAAGGCCTAGAAGTGCCAGCCCTAGCGTGGTAGGCAAAGCCTCTCGTCTCAACAGAGGCGTCTTGCATTTAGAGACGGTAGCCTTACGGTGATAGCGCTTCAAGCATGCAAAATTGCATTTTAGTAGACATTTTTATTGAATATTAACTTCAAGTTACTTGAAAACCGTCTTATATTACAGAGCAGTTAACTGAAGCAATGAATAGTTTGTTATCTGGAGTACTTTTTGCAGTGATTAACGTAGAGTTGAATTTCAAGTTTCCAAACACCCACTAATTTCCAATCATTCACCCTATCAACCCTGTCAGGGCTGTCTCGCCCCCAAGGAAGCATTCAGACGCGCTGCTGTAGACTGCATCTTATGGCTTAATAAAGATGACGGCCGATATTAAAAATTCCTCAAGCTGCAGATTACAGCCTGAATTGAAATACAAAACTTTGTTATAAAGCAATTAGATGATGCAAAATAGATGAAGACTATGAATACTAAGAATAATCGAAGAAAAGAACTACATTAGTTTGATAAGATATTTTTGAAAAATACAAGAAATTATGACAAGAAGAACATTACAAATTGGGAAAAAAGTTATATAGTTTTTGTAGCACTAGACCTCCTTATGTAAGAGTTAATTCAGAGAAGCGCGTTTCCGTTTTGAAGGGTAAGTGTGCTGGAAAGATTACAGGCAAATTGGACTTTTCAACTTATGTCTCAAGGTGGTGGGTGCAGGGGCTTTGGTATTGCAACTGCTATGGGCAGGCGTGACGCTTACCACCAAACTTACCTGTTGTCATAAAAAAATACGTCACAAGTGCTTTTATCACTTTATTATTTGGAAAATTTTATAACTCTCCTCTTTAGGCATAAAAAGATATCAACTAATTTCGTTCTCAGTCTTAAATCTCTCTCCTAAAAAGTTATAATTTTACGGAAATGACCTTATTACACCAAAGGTGCTTTTTAGTCGTATTGTTGCCTATTTATAAGATATTTTAAGACATTTATTTTAAGATAGTTAAGACATTTATATCCTAATAATAATGATAACGCAACACACTCATATTCCCGCACTAGGGAAATCCTGTGTCGCGGGTGCCATGGACACACGCCATGGACACACACATAGACAATCGCAAATTACACCCACCTCACGAAAGTTGATAAATGAGTTAGTACATAAATTGTTTGACGATCCCGGACGCTATATAGATAAAAAGGCCTCATTCCCGGTAGGACTAATTTAGGACACGAACTTACAACACAGGTAGTCGATCTTCTGGGTAATACCCCTTGAGTCAAATTCGTTACTCTGTTACTCATATTACAAGGAATTCCCTAGTTTGACGTCGTATTATACAGTATACATATGTATATAATTTTTTATCTACACACATATCATAAACTCTCTATAATGTGTTCAAAAACCGCAAATTACGACCAGCATAAAGGTAAACTGTTTTTTAGAACAAATTTCATATCTGTGAAAATGTTATTATCGCTTCATAATAACGTCGAATTCGATGTTATTATTACATTCAAATTTCGAATATCTCTGAAAAACAAAACAATTTGATTGGACCTCAATTCTAATATCAGTCGAGATGAAGTTTTATTCGAAATGAAATGTCAATAGCAAACAATTTTGACAATTTCACACATTACTTGATATCGAACGATATGATAGTTAGAGCCGATTCTCGTTTGTCTATGAATTAAAAATAAAAACTGCTGTAGTGTGACATGCGTGAGAAAAGTTTTTATTAGCCGCCATTTCGCCAGTCGCGGTTCCTGAACACGTCACAGAGAGCTTATAATATGTGTGTAGATAAAGCAGTGTATGTAACTGTATATAATTAAGCATTAAAACACTCAACTCAACAATTAAAATACGACAATGTTTGAAACCCTCACTCGTATTTTAGTGCCATTCGTTATGTAACA